TACTTTACATGCAGAAGGCCCCAGGTTCAATCCTTGGCAGCTCCAGATATGACTGGAAAATATCTGTCAGCAACTCTCCAACATTTTAGGAAAATCAGTGTAGACAATACTGGATCAAACTGACACTGGAGTGGCTCAATACGAAGCAGCTTTCTATGTACTTGCTGATAACTAGGAAAATGGGAGAGCTACTTTTGAAAAGGTCAGCTGCCTGCCAAGCCTCAGCATGTAGGAACACTTAGTGCAGGGTTTTCAAAGGATAATTTCAGGGCTTGAGTAAAAAAATATATGGGAAGAGGTGTGCCTTCAGTTAGTTCCAGACTGTGAAAGGCTTTATAGGTCATCAAGAATTGGGTCCAGAAAATAGTTGGGAGTCACAGAAGAGGCTATAATGATGTGATCATTGCACATGATTTCATTCAGTAGCCTTTGTTTGTGCTAAAGTTTCCAGACAGTCTTCAAGAGCAGTCCCATATACAATGCAATGTAGTAGTCTACACGAGAGGTCACCAGGCCAGGGATTACTGAAGTCAGGCTATCTCTGTCTTGGCAGGGTCATAGCTGGCATACCAGCCGACACTGGAAGAAGGTATTCCATGCCATGGAAGGCACCTGTGCTATGATAAAGGTGGATTATAAGCACCCACAAGAGTGGGCAGCACAGAGCCTAAGGTCCACATATACTTGTGCACTCTACATTGTGGCTTTCACTGAAATGTAACAGCACACCACAAACTGGTCTGGCACAGCCACCACTTAAAATTGGTAGTGTACCCTCCAGAGAGATGAAATTGGTCCCTGGAGCCACTGAAGTTGCTCACCCCTGTATGAGAGAAACTAGAAAGCCAGGATATGCTAAATATGTGGAGATATAAGTAGTATTGAGAACTAGATTGATGAATATAACAAAAATTCCAAGTCTAGACTGATACCACCACGAAGCATATCTAGAATATACTGAAGTTTCTCCTTCATCCACCTCTGTTATGCAGCTGTTTCCATTTTTTAGCTGAATTAGGCATAGCTTTTGTGCAGTTCTTAATTATATCAATGCCCTTATATAAACTAGATCGGAAACTTTTACATGTGCTATCTGCAGTCACATGACAGTCTGTGAAACTCCAACTGTATTTACTTCATTTCCACTAATCATCTATACCAAAGTTCATTAAAATCTTTATTAAAAGTGTTTATAGGCCATCCACTACAAGTGTCTTGGGTTCATTATATTATTTTTATGTGAAAATTTTAAAACATCTAAATCACTAACACAAAAATGTAAAATAAAATTCAGTTCCCCATTCAGACTAAAAATATGTCCCAACATATTATGTGTTTAGATTTATATTCCAAGGAAAGGTTTTGCAACAAATATTGTCTGTAGGAAAAACCTATTAGAAACAAGCCTTAAAAAGAATTGAAAGTACAATTCTACGCCTCACTATTCAGAGTTAGTTCAACTGTGTTCAGAGGGGATTATTCTCAAGTAATCAGAATACAGTTGTCGGCTTCAATCTATCCATTTTGCAGGACCAGTTTGCAAAGGATTGTGCCCACAGGAGTTCAGTCACAAATCTTTCCATATTATTCTTATAGACTCAAGGTCTGCTTTTTGTAGCAATGAGTATTTAAGAGTCATTTTTTGTGTAATATTTCATTTCAGTTAGCTGTCCCAGAAGATTCTGTTTGGCATGCATTCAGATTTTACTGTTAAGAAGTCTAATGAGCCTAAAAGCAAAAAAACAAAACTTATACTTGTCAGATGTTATTGCTTAGATAACGAAGTTTGCTACTCTTTTCGCATCTTGTATAGGAACTAAATAATACATGCTGCTTTAAGTATTAAGCATCTAAAATAGCTACAGTTGTATCTCATCCTGTTTACTGAGAACAACTGAGTTAGGTGGGACTTTTTGCCAGGTAACTGTGCATAGAAGTACAGCCAAATCCTATTTATACTTACTCAGAACTCAATTCCATTATGCTTGCCATGCCTTTCTCCCAAGAAAGTGTACATAAGATTACAGAGCAAGCTTATTCAGGTTTGCCTAGAAATAAATTTCACAGGTTTATGGGATGTAATCCCATACATGTGCATCAGATTGCCTTAGACATCTCTCAACTGTATTTATTTGAAATAGTACTGATCAATATATCACTGATTAGTATAAGCTGCCCTTTTCCTCATGCAAGTATTAGTAGGCTTGGAAGTAGCCTAAAATGTGTTGTGATAACAAACTCCCAAACTGTAAGAGGAAAAACCAATGAGGGGCGGAACTGCTTCCACCAAACAGTAAACTTAGTGACCACAACAGGCTGAATGCTGACTGCCTCAGAGAGGCTGAATTGTCAGGAATGTTATGAATATCCAAAAAAAGGGCATGGCTGCCTGGAACTTTGAACATTAGGATACCACACGTGTAGTTTTTTTCTGTTAAGGAATTCCAGGGCTGACTAATGGGTAGGAGGAATTTCTTGCAAAATTCCACAGAAAGTACAGGAGGAGAAGCTTCTAGTGGTGACTGGGTAACTAATCAATTAATTACTGGGTAATTAATCATTTATCCCTTGCTGTCTTTTCTTAGAAGTAAATCTCTGTGATCCTAAAGGACTTATTTTCAATTAAGTAAAAATAAGATTGCAGTTTGATTTTCAACATTTATTTGGAAGAAAGTCCCATATTATGGCAATCAAGGATTTGAGCACCTGAAGCTGAAAATTCAGATAACAGCCCTTAATGTACTCAACAAGTGCCATTTGGGATGGACAGTAGAACCAGCCATTTTCCCAGAGTTAATTTGTGGCTTCCTCCCAAGTAAGTGTGTGAAGGCTGCAGGTGACATTTTACCTTCATCCCATGACTCTGATCCCTTATTTTAGAAGACACAGAAGTCATTACCACTCCAGCTTTTGATGTAATGGCTAGAATGATATGTTGGTACAGAGGACACATAGTTAAAACTCAGAAGTGCCCTGGACCAGTTGCACACATATTTGGATTAACTTCACAGGGTTGTTCTGAGGATAATACCAGCAGAGGAAGTACTTTTTATGCTACCAGAGATAGACAACTTATGGCCTGACAAATGCTTTGGCCTCTAACTCCCACTATCCCTCTCCATGGTTGTGCTTGCTAGGACTTAATGAGAGCTGGAGACCACCTACCACATGGCTACACTGAGTCCCATGAGCAGTTTCAGGGCAGAAATTACACACACACACATGCACAAACTCATGTGTAATTGTAAATACTTTTCTAGCTATGCCACCCTAGCGCATCATCATCATCATCGTTGTTGTTGTTATTAATTTTAGACAGCAAGGTTATATATTTAGAGGGCAATGACTTTAATCTACTCTCTCATTAAACTGATTTTGTTGTCCATATGGTGCTTGGTACATAGCTGGTGTTTAATGGGATGGAGATGTAGGAGGGAAGGACTGTCAAAATAATTACATTATAGAAACTACCCACAGCACTGAATTTGAAATTCCCAGGGTGCCTTGATAAAATATTCTGCAGGTGTAAAGTATTCGATCACATGGACTGTAAGAAGTCTTGAGTTTAGAGATCTCAGAGACAAAGAACGTGTCAACAGTAATCACATACTCATTTCTCATGATCTTATGACTAGCTTCAGTCTGAATATGCACAACGTGATCTACAGTCTATAAACAGCTTGAGTCTAGCCCCTAGGAATCCATAATTTTAAAAACCCACAACACCTTGAACTTTCTGATAACTCTTTACTACATGCAGTACTTGCTTTCACCCACTTTTGGAAGGCTAAACATATCCATTCTAATTTGGAAAATGTTACTGGTTTTCAGTCTATCAATAGCAAGATATTCTTGCACATATAGATCTACATAGAGACATTTGAAAATGTGTGGTGGTGTGTGGATACTAATTCTTTTAACATTTTTTTCTTCCAGTTACTACATAGTGTCTAGTTTGGGTTCTGTTGACCCATTTTAGTGTTTCACCTAAAAATAATCTCCAAGGTTTCTAATGACTTTGAGTACCATGTTTCTCTTTTATATCTGATTTTCTCCCTAACAAGCTTCTCTACCTCACAAATGCTGGACAGAGATTTAAGTAGCTGCTAGATTTAGGGGATCAGTAATTTTTTCTGGTCCCCACATCTAAAACAATTCTCCATCTCGTGACACTTAGTCTAATTAAGGCTGAACTCTTGATTAGCTTGGATGCAGTAGTGGTATTTCTGGAGCTTTTGAAACAGAAAATTGCTACTAGGTCATCCTTCTTTTGACTGCTTGACTGACACTAGTTTTCTGGGTTTCAGGCAGGAATGTTTCCCAGACCTACCTGGAGATTCTGGCGATCCATTCTGGGACCTTTTGCAAAGCATGTGCTCTACTACTGGAATTTGGACCTTCTCCTAAAACCCTCTAGGTTTATCCAGGAGATAAGTAGATCTTCCTTTACCTTCAGGCCATAGAACAATTCTCCTCCCCAGCAGTATCAACTGTCAATAGTGACCGTTGGAAAAAGTACTGCAGAGTACAGTGGACTGGAAGAACAGAATGCAGTTACAGGTGATGATGGTATCGGGAGATACAAAAAAGATTTTCTAACAGTATTTTGAGCAGCCATGAAGTTCCTCAGATGTTTGCCAAGGCTCCTCAGTATCTATAAAAGACAGCCTACCAAACAATTACATTGTCTATAAAAGTAACAATGGCTGATTGTTCTGTCCCAGTTAAAATAACTGGGTGTTAGGGCCAATAGATCTGGGCAGTGCCATGCAGTAACCTAGGAATATGTCCCAGAATCCTTAGCAACATACATGGATTCTACAGCAGACATCCCTAGATAAGAAGATAACTGAATATCGAAAGGTTTCCCACAAAGCGGAAAATCTGAAAAATGCAATGACATTTGAGATGAAATATGTAGTCTGACAGGGTCTAGCTGGATACACCTGGTCAGGTCTCACACCTATATTTTGTCTTAATCTCATCTCCCTCTTCTGCAGAGTGAAAGGAATTCATGACTACAGCTGAGCCAAACATTCCATGCATGATGTTCACTGGTCTTTCTAGAGGTGAAGAATCTGCCAAGGTCTGGGGAGGAAGGAAATGGAGCCAATCTGGGGATGAGGAAATAAAGTGCTTGAAAATTCATAATGAGGTGGCTCAAGAGCTTCCTTCTTTAACATTTAACAACACCTCTGCACCTTGGCTGAGGGCCAGCTAGCAGCACAACTCCATGTGCTTTGGAAATGGGAATCCAAATGGAAGCAGCCATCCTTTTTTTCCAGTGGAAAGACATGGGAACCACACATCATCATCATGTTTTGTCTTTCAGAGTTTGTAAATCCTCTTTCTCCCTTGATAACCTTAAGAACCTCTCCCCTCCTCAAGCGTGTCACCTCATTCCCCAACCACAATCAGAAAAAAGGTCCAACTAAATGAGGATGGAGACTTTGTCCTATTATTGATGGTACAGCCTAACCCTAGGTTTATTTACTTGGAAGTAAATCCTACAGATTTCACTAGGACTTAGATCTAAATAAGCATGCATAGGATTTCAACATCAAATGTTGTTTAAATATCACAACTAATCCTTAAGAAAATCCAAACTAAACATACCTTTAATTTGTGGGTGGAACATTTCTGTAGATCTCTTGAGAATAAGAAACTCTAAGTGCTATGCTGGCTTTGGCAAAGGACAGCTCTACATTTTAATTGTTCGAGCGTCAGGCTGCAAACTGAGTGCTTTGCTGGTGCTGTTCGCTTCTAGTTCACATGAGATGCTTTGAGGAGTGGGACGGCTCTTTCCTTTTTAGGAAACATGCCCTCTGTGCTGTGGTGATTTAGTCACCCATCTGGAGTGACTCCAACAGTAGCCACAGGAAACATGTGTGGTTATAGAACTAACTGAATTAGTTACAGTTAGTTCTATAATGCACTGAGGCATTCCACCCTTCTTAGGTCCATTATTGATACTAAAATTTACCCTGAAGCAGCAAAACAGACAGTCTCCAGTTTGCTTTAATAATGCAAAGATTGTGAGTGCTAAATGCAGAAACAGCCTGGGCTGTTTCCCAGAGGAGGGGATGGGACAAAAATTGTGCTGGATCCAGAAACCCAAATTGTTGTGCAATTGTAATGAGCAGCAGGATGCTGCGGGGGAGAGTATTCAGGTCTGGACCTGTGAAAATGATCTGAGATGCATCAGGAATGGAGGTGAAAAGGCCTTCCGCTTTGTTTTGCCTCTGCATTGTAACAGAAGCTGAAAGCCTTACCAGACAAAACACACAAAGAGGGGTGGGAGGAGAGCTGGCAGAGGACATTCAAAGATAGCACCGTGCTTCAGGACGTTCCCAGGTTAGGAGGAGGATTTGTTAGAGTTGTGTCCTGCAAGGAATTAGAAGCCACTGGGCCTAATCTTCTATTTATCTCTTTGAAGGGGGACAAATATGCAAAAAAAATCTCAGAGACTGCAGGCACATATGAACAGTCATACCCGACCATACCCAACCAGCAAGAGGACCCTTTTTGTCTCCTAATACAAAGATAATTTGTTTGAATTTGTCTCTTTGTATTAATGTGTTTTCCTAGCAGATAAGGGTTAGGGTTAGGGTCTGTGATTTCTGCAGACTGAAGGAACATGTGGAAAGAAATCACTGAAAACAGTAGCTACAGCTTGATGGATCACATCAATTTCACATGTATTCACTAATTCTGTTATGCTGTTTCCACATTAAAATCTGCTCAAAATATACATTTAAATAAGCATTTCTAGATGTACTTTTAACAAAAGTAAGTGTTTCTAGATTATTTTCTCCAAAGGATGGCTTTTTACACAACACTTGAAATACATTTTGAGCTCAGAAGTATAACCTTCAGAGAAGTGCCAAATCTACTGGACAGCTATATTCTGATCCATACATTAGTCTAGGAGGTATGGATTAGCTAGTTCATATCCTGAATTCACTATAGCAGATTCCTCAAGCATCCTTTATATTAGCACCCAGCATGAAAGGGTAATGCCACAAATAAATCATGTAATGGTCTCATTTCAAATTAGCCATGTTCAATTTTTATATTGTCAGATCCACAGTTTGTCTTCTGTTCAATTTTTACCCTTTAAAACTAAGTCGTTATGCCTGCTTGATAGCATATTTCTATTTTTCCTGAGGCCTTTGAAGTAAAATGCAATTGCTTTACCATATCAGGCATCCTCCGTTAAAGGTAAAATATATTTTTAAATGTTTAAAATGTGTTTGCTCTGTGTGTCCATTGTCTCTAAATGTAATATATATCCATTGCATTTAGATGCACATATATTTGCCCTGTCATAAGAAATAATAAACCAAATATGTATTCCTCCTCTATAATTTTGCTCATCTGAGCTCCAACATTAATCTTCCACTAGGATGGAGAGAGGGGATACATGGACAATGCTTGCACAATTTAAATGTCTATCGACTGAGGATGATCAGCAACAAAGAACTGATACTTTCTTGGCAAAACATCATGTTGCTTTATATAGCAAAATGTTTCATAGCTGCCTTCCCACAAAGATGTCTGCTCAACTGGGCTTTAAGAGGAAAGGTCTTCAGAAGATGTGTTTTCACAAGAAAAAAGGGATGCTTGAGAGAGTTTCAACCATGTAAACTAGAAGAGAATGGAACAAGTTGATCTCATAGGGCCTGGAAATTCTGTGTCCCTTCCCCAGCAGAAATTTTCAAGGTAATGCTTTACAGTTTTCAAGATAATTGAAGCATAACCTCAGGCACCTTTGAAACTCTCACAGATGATGTAATACATTTGTATCATTGTGAGATGGAATGTAAGGAAAGCTGGATAGGAAATGGTAAATAGACCACAGTAGCTGCAGATTTTCCTTAACAGTCAGTGGAAGGAGATAGATAGCTAGATGGCTAGGAAGCCTATAATTTGCTAGGCAGATCACTTGCTAAATGTCCATGCTTTCTGAATAGCAATACATGGCCCATACACTCTTAGTTAATATCACAAAATCATATCCTTGGTAGAGGGGTTTTATAGGCCAAAGGTGGAGCAGAAAGTAGATCTTCAAACATTTTTGACTTCAGTTCCCAGCATTCCTGTCCATTGGCTATACTAGCAGAGGGTTGAGTCGAAACATTTTGAGAACTACTTTCTGCTCACTCCTCTTATAGGCTATCTTGTGAAACCCTCTACTTGCTGCAGAAAATCCTGAGATACAGCATATGAATAGACAGCAATCCATCCTTCATCAAGGGAGAGCCAGGAGAGAACAGGGTGAGCATATCTCATGAACCTGAGCAGCTGTCAATTGCACAGTGAAGTCAACCAGTCTTCTAGACCCTGCTATGAGCCTTTTCAGTTGTAGTATTCCATCTTTAGAATATTACTTGTTATTTCCTGCCCAGGATTTGCATTGTTCTGTTGGTTTTACCTGTCCATATGCATTGGTGTGCTGATGTTTTAAAGATATTTTGATTCATTTTTCTACCACTTTCATTTTTGCTCATTGATGTTAAGCTGTTTTGGAAATTGTAAAACTGAAGGAAAATAAATATTGGTTGGATTTCTACTCAAAGTTTCAAATGTATCAAACTAGAACATTGCTGCTGGATCAGACCAAAGATTGATTGAATTTGATGTTCTGCTCTCACCATGACCTACCAAGCACCCAAGAAGCAGGTCATGAGCACTATAGCACACATCTGCTCCTGTTTTCTGGTAACTGGTATTGAAAAGATTCTGTCTCTGATACAGGAGGCAAGAACTATAAGTAATTATTTTCCATTAATTTGACTAACTCTGTTTTAAAATGTCCAATATGGAATACATCCTGCAGTAGTGAATTCTATAACTATGCACTGTGTGAAGAAAGTCTTTCTTTTGTCCTGCATCTTCTACTCTTCCACTTCATTATGTGGTTTCTAGTACTGGGAGAGAAGGATCCAAGCCATCTTCTTTTCCCATGCATAACTGTATGCACTCCCCCTTACCCCCCCTTTTTTTGGAATCGTAGTAACCAGCCAGTCTTCTTGTCATTACATGTGAAGCTGCCCAGCAAGACTTACCTCCAAATAAGTATACAAAGGTCCAGCTATATCCCTCCCTGAGGATTGCTATAGTGAACATTATTTGCCACACACGTTAAGATGAGATAGCCATTTAAAAATGAGTAACTCAGTGTTTGAGGAAGGATTGGCAGTTGCTTTTGCTCCTAAGAATGCATCTATCCTTCAGCTGGCAGCAATCTAAACATGTAAAATATATCATGAGCTTTCTCAATTTTTTGGTCATATCTTTAATCTAGCTGTAGTTGCACCTTGTTGCATTTGGACATTCCTGTCCACATCAAGTGTATCCACCATGATTGATGGTGAGTCAGTGAATCATATAATGTGCATTTATATCAGCTGTACATGTAGTTTGGATTATTATTCTTATTATCATTATTATTATTATAACATTACTGAGCTCAGTTGATGATGAACCAGAAGAAATGTGAACTGAAACCAGAGATATTAGGGAAGAATGCAGAAAGAATGTTCCTGTCGGGACAGTCAAGAAGCAAAGTCAAAAGGTCTCAGAAATAGGGTTAGAGTCCCAAATGCAACTTTTCAACAGCTGCCACATAGAGACAAAACTACTACAATGGTCAGTGGAAAAAATGGAACACCAAAAGAGAAAAATGAGATCTCCTCCAGAAGGTCCAAGAAATCAAAGGAAAATTGAAACCTAAATTATGAATGCTGAAAGACTAACAGGAAAACATTCTCACCAGGGTAAAATAAAGAAAAAGTAGAGGTGGAAACAATATACAGGAGATAACAGACTCCTTTAAAGAGGAATCCTATGAGGAAGAAATTGTCATAGTAATGAAGTGGAAACTGCTCTGAAAGTACTTGGAAGAAATAAAGCACCCAGAGAAGATAAGGTACCAATAGAACTATTTCAAGTTGCAGAGAGTGAATTATTCCAAATCTTAACAAGAATATTCTATTGAATATGGAAAACAAAACAGTGACCTACAGACTGGACATATTCAATATATATTCCAATCCTCAAGAGGTGCTAAGGAGTGCAGCAAGCATAAGACCATTACACCAATTTTAGATGCAAACATAATAATGTTCAAGGTTTTGCAACAAAGA